GGATTCGAGAGAATAGAGGTAACAGAGGAACCAAAAACAGTTCCGAAACCGACAAAGATCAAACAAAAGCAGCGAAAAGATGGAAACTAACTCGACAAGCTGCATGATCATTAGAAAAAGAAAAATTCAAATGTAAATGAAATTCTTCCCGCTTGCTGAAATCTCGTTTTTCAAATTATGACTCACTTTTTGAGCATACTGTAATTGTTCCAAGGTGAAGAACTTAGAACCTACCATAGGATTCATCAGCTGAAACATGATGACGAACATCTCCTCGAACAGTCGTCCAGTAATTTGCGACACTTTGGCGTCGGAAAACGGTGACGAGAACGCTCGTAGCCGGTTGAAAAACGTGTCGAAGATCTGTAGATGAAATAGGACGTATTGATTTTTTCGGCCATTTTTCCCACAAGCATGAATGATCGTATCGTCCCGATGGAGACCATTGAGAAGACAATAAATACCTGGGAATTGCTCTGATAGAATGCTCCATAAGTACGATCGAATAGCGTATCCAAATGCTCATGGCATGCATTGAGTGAATTGTAGAAGAATGCTTAACGATAACAATCAATATAGATCGATTGAGTGCCAAAAGATCAATAACATACTTCTAAAGCTGTTCAAATTTGAATTGATCATATGTCGTAGGACGATTAGTTTGTCTTCGAGTTGAGCTTTGAAGATCTTCTCTGCACTTTCGAGAATTTCATCTTCTATGTTTTTCGTGCAACACGCGTTCTTCCAGTACAGATCTTCAAGTCGGACGCTAAAATTGAAAATATTGCCAAAATTATTCAAAAAGTCATTTTTAAGGAATTAGGGGCACGGGGAGAACTCGTCTGGGATATTTATGCTGGGATAATTACGGACTATCGCAAGATACGGGGCCATCCTCCACGAGTAAGCCTACGAGGGGGCAGGAACTTCGAGGAAAATGAAAATTGGTTACGAACCCTAAAAACCTCCTGCTCGTCCAGGATTTGAACGCAAGGACCCATATCTTGTGGTAGCGTAAATTGCTTTTTGGCACCATTCTAACTGTTCATGATAAGTTTGAAGTTATCCTATATGGATTCATCTGGCATGTATGTCATCGGAGATGTTTGTTGATGTGGAAGAAATTCCAGGTGTCATTTTTTTCAAATTGATTTGTTGAAATAGCTAATAATCTAATACACGATAATCGAATTTCCCCAGGAAATACGATGGTATGTGATCGCCAAATAATGCCATTTTAGACGCTCTAAACGTACTGATTAACTCTTTTACAGAAATTGTGTATTGTATTTGGATACGTGGCCAGAAACAGATATACGGGCCACCATTTCCGAAGTTGGAGAAGGAAAAGTTTGGAGGTTAACTACAGGAGCTCTGCCTCACCATAGATTCAATTTCGGAATACTGAAAATCAGGAACCTCCGGCTGAAATTTCATACCCCCTCAATTTTACTAAAAACTAGTCCCCATTCCCATTTCAACGGTTCGTTCGGAGCGCTTCAAAGCCCCAACGCCGACCAGCTCGTTCTGTTTTTGTGACGCATATGGGAGCGACCAGAACACAATACAAACGAAGATTCGGCCTCTGTAACTCTAATTACTGCTAATTACTGTATAATTACCATTTGATATGTATGGATTACGCGGCGAAAAATTCATAACCCATAGTAAAAAAATATAGTAAAGCGAAGAAAAACCAACCGGGGCCTTTCTTCAGCAGTGTAGAATAGTCATAGTGAGACTTCTTTAACATCTCACATGACGTTGAAAGGCATACAGCTGGGAATAGAAGGGAATAGATGAGCCACGAGAGCGGTCTCATCCTCATCGTACCGACCTTTCTGTGCACTTGGTATCTCTGACGCGAATGGCGTAAGCACGAGGAGGCGGGGCCAGTGGGCCGAGGCGGGTCAGTACAATAGAGGCAGCGGTGCTAACGGCTATGTCGCCACAACCGAAACACGCCAGACGAGGTACTGACTCACTGATACCAGTCAGAGATAAGGTCAGTGAAGATGATCGAGTTATCATCCATATGGGAAGGATTTGATGGATTAGGAAGTGGATGAGCTGCCAATGGCAAAATCAGGTTGATCTCGTGATCTCGTGATGTGGGTAGATTTTGAGGTGGTTGGGGAGGAGGTAGGTTGAGAGGGGATGAGGGTGAGGGACTGAGGGGGAGGTAGAACGGATTAGCAAAATGTTGGAGTTGCTTTGTAGTGCGCCTATATCTGAATTCAGTAAATTATAGGTACTATTTGGGGGGAGGGGGTAGTGAGTGTGGGTTTTGGTGAAGCTACAGTTACTTAATACGAACTCCGCGGAACAATGGTAAATGAGGATATCCAGAAATCCAAGACCTTATTAACTATCGCTAGCGCTTCACGCTTAGTTAGGTGGCTATTTTTAAACTGGGGAGGGGGAATATTGGCTGAGGCTGCTCAGATTTCCCATGATTACGCCACGCGCTTGACTGCCTACATTGATTGTTCAAGTGACGGACAGCATGTGAGACTGTGTAAACATGCTGACGAATAATTCTTCAAACAAAGTCCCGACTATGATCTCCCACACTTTGGCCTCAAGAAACAGATGGCTTGTGAGCGACTGAAATTGTTCGCTAGGTTACTGTGCATGTGATTGGGCACCATGACCAATATCTGAGTTCCAATTTAATAGAATTTGTTCTGGCTGTGCCAGCAATAAACGTGTTTTTTTTCGGACAATCTATCCTTCTATTTTATAAAGCGCTAACTTTGTGTGTCGGTTTGTGTATCTGTATGTGTGTGTGTGTGTGTGTGTGTGTGTGTGTGTGTGAGTGTGTGTGTGTGTATGTGTGTGTCCGCAAAATGAAGTGAGTGAGAAGGAAGCTCATGGGATAAACAAACCGCTAACAAATCGGGTAGCTTACAGGATTTGAGATATCAATGTTTTGTAGCAGGATAGTTGTGATAACACTCTTAGGGCTATATAAACACCTGCTTAGCACACTTCCGTTCATTCCACATGGTGCTGCAGTGGCAGCTGGAGGGCAGTGGAGAGAGGAAGGGAGGATGAGGAAGGGAAGCGAAAAATCTACCGTCATATCATGATTGTGTCCCTTCTACTGTATGAACACCATTGTGTTGCATACGCGTCACTTCCACGAGGTGTTGGTGTCACAGGAGGAAGGGACCATAGCGGAGGATAGAAAGCTTGCGCAGGAAAGGAAGGTCCCGGCGGTTGACGGGGGACTAATCTGGTCCAAAAATAACTTTTTTTTCGGAACAAATATGAAAGATAAATTACCAATTTTCCCATGGATAGAAAGCCAAGCTTTCCACTAACTGTTTGGTCATTTTTGGTAAAACAACATCCAGCAATATTCAGTTACCGTGCAGATTTGATACTTCTTATTTGATACCTGTTGATATTTTTTGGGGCGAACAAAAATTACGCATAAATGATTCTAAATAATTATTTCTCAGCAGCAAATGGAGCAATGCTGAGGCATGCTAACCAGGGATTTTCATTTATTCATTTATTCAGTTATTCAACTATTTATTTATTTGTTTATTTAGACCTGTTTTTGTTTGTTAACTGCTGTTTTTGGCCGCAGTTCGCCTTGCGAATGTTTCACAAGAATGCTGGGTTTTGAAACATTTATTTGATTATTTACTTATTTATTTATTCGGTTACCTGTTTACTTATTTATTTATTTATTGGCAGGACCGGCGTACAATAGTAATATCTTTTGTGGAATTTGTGCGAATTGCTCTTCAGTTTATTATTGAATAGTTTTGTGAAAGCCGCCAGCTAACAAAATTCATTACAATTTCTTTTTAGAATCTTCACCCAGGTAAGTACCGATGTTTATACGCAGAAAACCTTTCTGAGCAAAGTTTGCTTCCAACGACCGGCACTGCGCACCGAGTAAATATCGTCACGGCACATTGACAGCTTTATAGGCGAAAGCTCAGCGAGATCTACTCTGTGAGACCACAAGGGCGCTCACTGGGTGCGGACCCCTAAGCTGAGGACGTTGTTGAAGAGCTGGATGACCTTTGATTGGCTCATTATCACCTCTTGTCAACACTCCCGACCAAAAGCAAAAGCCGCTTGACGACTATTTGTCACTCGTTATGAGTTGACGACCATGGGAACAGTGCCCAGTGTGCACGCACTGGCGGGAATTTCACCTGGGGATAAAGAGCGCACAGTTTATGGACAACCAGTGATCGGCTGGGCACAGTCGAGGTGTGAGCATGGGAACGGTGCAGGTTTCTCAGGGGTTTCAGAAATGGAGTGAGCCATGTGTCAGTCACGTTGGTGACGCTTATCGCCTGAAACCATGAACGTAAGTGATTAATAACAGTGGAGGAAGCGATGTGTGCAGTGATAATTGTAAGCAGCATATAATGAAAATTAACTATGTGAAAGCGTTAATGTCCTCTAGTGTCTCTTCCTTACACGCTTCCTCTATGTTTACATCCGTTCATAGAGTTTTTTTTTTGAATAACCCCTTTTTTTCGCGACCGCTTGAGGGTAAGTAGGGCAGCAACTAGGAGGCCCTTACCCACATAGTTTGAGGAATCAGGTTTGGCATCAATTTCTTTACTGATTAATCGCTATCAGATTTCCCAAGAAGGGGGGAGCACTGACTTGAAGGTCGAATCGTTGGACTCCGTCAACAAGCCCGGTATGGTCCCTGTTTAAGTTCACACTTTCAAGTGACTGTACGTATCTGCATGAAAGCTGCGTGTGTGGCGCATCCCTAAGGGCTTATCCGGCGCAAGGCAACGGATCCAAGAAAAGTCCAAGATCCACCAAGACATATCTCTGGTTTGCTCAGAGGACCAAACAAGTTATTCGTGAGCTCGAAGTCTTTATTACTGTCCTATGTTGTCCTATGTGTCCTATGTGGTCGGACGGAAGCTTAAGCTGTGGAAGGCGTAGCTTAACATACCATATATAAATGTGTTAAAAGCCAACATCCTACGATTCTAGTTGAAAATCCTATGCGTAGCGTATGTGTAAAAAATTAGATGGACATCGAGATAAAAGGATAAAGGATAAAGCATTTGCCGTTGATCAATCCCTTTTTGGGATGCGGCACGCATTCTACTTCCATTTGTACATTCGTAGTGGCGTTTGAATGCGATGTGGCCTATACAATGACTTGCGGGGGCCAGCCGATGTACAAGTCAGTGTTTTTATCCTCCCAGACAAGTCTGGTACCAATTAACCGACCCCGGAGGGATGGAAGGCTTGGTTGGCCCGGGCGACTCACGACCCAGGATTTGATCCCCGGACCGCTCGCGTGGTAAGCGTGCCACTTGCCACTACACCACTTCCGCCCCACGAGATAGTCACCAATTTGTCGGGATATTCTTCTCTTGACAACTCATATTCGAAAACTTTTTCTAGTCGTCTTCCCATTAGGCTGCCCAAGCTGCCGATTTTTAAGTGGGAAATATTATAGTGTGTGGAATTGCAGACGTCTGACGGTTGGGTGTGTCATAGTGCGCCCGAACGCCCAACAACGTCAACCTTACAAAGGTTACGTCGCGACGAGCGGACGGCGACAGCGAAAATGGAAATGCTAACAGAATGCCGCCGGGTGACTCATTTTTAATATGGATGGTAGAAGCTTGCGATCGAGCTATGTAGAAAATGAAAGTACTGGTGGGGTTCAGCGTTAATGGACCTCCTAAAGACCCACCATACAATAGGTTTCATTGAGGATTTTA